CCATCTTATAATATATTTAAATAGGTTTATTTTGTCAATTGCAACTCTAAAAGAACCACAAACAATTATTTTCTTAATGCGATTTACAATAAGCATCGTGCCATCAGCTGTTTTTTTACTAGCAAATAGTGGCTAGTAAAAATTTATCCAGTAAAAATCCAGTGAAACTTGCAAGTTCAGCTGTCATTTTTGCTCTCTCAATTTCCCCTCTTTTGCTAGTTTCTTGCAAGTTTTTGCGTACGAAAACGACATCCAGTAAAAAACCAGTAAAATTAGTACTGGATTTACTGGATAGTGCGTACGCGAACAGGGCTAAAGCCTGCTATACAGTTCAATGCGGGCGTGAGCGTGAGCTTTTTATTTTGATCAATATCTTCGTTATTACTTAACTTTTTGCAACAGTTGATACATCAAAAGATAGAGAATTCAAATATCTCTCAGACTTATAGATTAAAAACTAATTGAAAATGCATAATGTGCCTTTTTTCATGCTTACAGTCAACTGGGTGCGTACGCAAAGCTTTCGCATGTGAACGACAAGTTTTGACAGCGTCCATAAGAATACAAATTGAATTATTTGGCTTTGCGAAAGTTCACGCTCACGCTCGCATTGAACTGTATATCAAGCTTAAGGGCGGTACAAGGCGCATCCATATGGATTTATTTATTATTATTTTCTGTCATATTATTTATTTTCTGTCATTCGGCCGCCTTAAAGTGAAAGTACATAACGTCCGTCACCGTCACCGGCAGTTGTCAAAAAAGCTGGTTCGGTGTATTTGTATGAAGTAAGTTACATGAACAAGCTGACGGTGACGGTGCCGCACAAATTAGCTCAATTCTCAATTTTGCTTATGTAATTGCGTCAAATGAAAACTATTCAGTGTTTTCTTTACATGTTTGAACGTAATTTTTTTCAGTTGGTGGAAATTTTAAGATTTATCGAAAAACGAAATTTAAAAAATTATGTAGGAAAACCTAATAGAAGAAGTGCAAAAGCTAAACGCAAATTTTGCAAAGATAAGCGGCGAGTGTATGATTTTTCGGATGCTACGTCAAACGGATAGTGTCTAACTTGACGCATAAGCATCGTTGACGGTGATGATGCCGGTGACGGTGTCGCAATGGATGGTATGTACTTTCACTTTTATAGTCAAATTTTAAAGGCAATTTTTCAAATAAGGCAGAGTCAAAATCTTTCTTCTCGCTCTAATTACTTCACCTGGTGTAATTCCGCCATGCACTCTATATCTGAATGAATCATGAAAAATTTTTCGAGAAATATTGATTTAAAAAATGCCTAATTTGAACTTTGACCTTTAATAATTTTTGTGGTTGTTGTTTCCCAAAAAAAAAATATACCGCTACGCTCACCTCAATGACGTCTATCGATCCCCATATGAATTTTTTAATTTGAGAATTGTAGGTATTCTGCATTTATGCTCTTTTATTACAACCCCAAATTTTGTCTTATTGTGTCATCTCTAGGGACACGATACCGAACCGAAAGTGGCGATATAGTACTAATTTAAAGTATCGCTGTAAAAATATCGGGTACACATTATTATCGTAATAAAAAGATTCGATAGTCCAAATATCGATACAAAAATCTAAAAAATTAAATCGGAATAGTGGTAAAATTTTTTATTAAAGAATTTACACTTTGCACTTTATTAAGTACATCACTGAAGGCGCGCCACATACCAACCTAAGATTTACATATACATTCCAAAGTAAGTAAGGTTATAGTACGAACTAGATTTGCAATAAATGGAATGTTTGAAAACAATATTAACAACAAAACTTTCAATAGAAATTTTAATAAGGACAAATTTTTACATGTTGGAATTTGGGAAATTAACTTTAAATTTTTTNAAATTTTTCACTAGCCCTGCCGTATCAAACATTTTTATTCACCTCATAGCTGTCAAAAATTTACTATCCAGAGAACTTTTCTATCAATTGGCACAGGCCCTAACTTTGTAATGTATATTTACGATTCGATACGATATAAGGGTTCTGGTACTCGATTCCAAAAAATATCGTTGAAAACTTTCGAGTAAAAAGTATCGGTATGGAATGTCAAAAATATCTATATGGTATCATATCGTATCGAAATTCGTGTCCCTAGTCATCTCTAGCTAGACATGTTCACAACTCATCTGAGTACTTTTTTATTTACGACACATTTTCAAGAAGAAGGGACCACCAATGGAAATGATGGTAAATAATGAATTGCCAAATTCTGCATAAAACTTGGTACTGAAATAGATCTATATTTATTAGCAAGGAGCTTCGTTGCTGTCGCGTCCAGCAGACGAGTTTGGTAACGACGAGCTCGTGGAAGAAATGTGGGCATTAAAAGCGATGGATCATGCGGAAGTGTATTTTAACGTTAGTAATATTAAAAAAAAAAAACTATAAATTAAATGATAAGTTGGGCTGCATTAATTCGTAATATGTTTTCTTTCGGTAAAGCTTCTGACAAGTGTGCATCCTTCATGTCTGCACCTAACGCCATATGATGACCAAATTTACCAAGTTTTTCGGCAAGATTTTCCTGATCTCAAAATAGAACTATTGACCGATGATATTTTGAAGTCTGAAGATGCAAAAATTCACTGGCGCTTGTTTGCAGAGAAATTCAACAAATTGGAAGATTATGCTTACGGAACATTACTTCGTGCCGATGCTTCGAAAGAATTCACTCCAGAAAACTCACTTTTGGTTGTGCGCATTCAGTTTCTGGCTATTGAAATAGCAAGAAATCGTGAAGGACTTAATGATGAAGTGCACCGAAAATTTCGTCCGCCCCCACGTACGTTAGTTGAAGAAGTAAATGCCCAACGAAGTGGACAAGTGCAAGATGCATAGATCGTAAAAAATATACAAATACAAATATTTTAATGCTTAAATACTAATTAACATATCGTCGATGCTTTTGCAACACCGCCCATCGACCATTTTCAAAACCACCTAAATCGCCGTTGTGGCAAAAATTGTATTTGAACTCCAGGAATCGAGATTTATGCATAAAAATCGTAAAATAGTTATTAAAATAACAGATTTTGTAAAATAATAGCTAGAGAAGATACCGCCTATCAAAGCAATGCCTTCACAGAAAATCTGTTTTTTCGCTCCATAAAATTTGAGTGCTGTAAAGCTGGATTTACCTGAGAAGATTTTCTAGGTGATTCAACATTGCTCCAGAAAAATCGCTAGTGTAAATGGTGATTCAAAAATCGTTTGCCTCAAAATAAACGGCAAGTCAAATTTTGCAGCCGATTATCGCCTGTCAAAAAATCGCCTCATGTAAAGGCAGCTTAAGATAGGCGGTTTTGATCGATGGGCGGTTTTGCAAAAACCTCGACGATATTTTCAAATACAAATATATATAGTTGTACATTTTATATTTTCATAAAAATTCATACAAATGTGCTTTAGATCAGACTGCCTTGCTTAATTTTTGAAACCGAGAGTCTAGTGGTTTTGAGGAAATGCAAATCGCTTAACCTTTCATTATGCATATGTAAATTGTATTGTCCGCAAGGATCTAATATTATTTCAAGATACTAATGGCCCTATTATGTATAGCGACTGGGGTTTAGTTGCTGGTCAAGTAGCCATGGCCCATGGCTACCAGTTGGGCACCACAATAGCCCAACTTCGCTGTGGCTATTGCAGCAGGCTCGACTCATACCTGAGCAGAATAAATGAGTAATAGGCAACTTTGCTCCAATGTGTTCAACAATTTATGTTAACAAATAATCAGCCTCATTGCGAGAGTCGTGCCGAATGCAAGTCGTTTTTCGACAGTCGAATCGTATCGAAAATTTAGCGTCATTGTCTAAAATTTCCAATGGACTAGTGTATTAAAACGGAAAAACTTGGCAGCACTGCATAGTTTTCGACGATTTTCGTCGTCTACTTATTTCAGCATGACAGTAGACAATGCTGAAGTTGTCGAGTCGTACAATTCAGCCTAATTTACGACTTACGCAATGAGGCTGAACAAAATCGTCATAAACGGGAAAGAAAAAATTCCGCTACTAGCTAGACCCAGTCGCTGAGTCAGTAGCTAGTTGCCATATGTAATGCGAATTTTAGTATATAGTTGCGTATCGCCTATCAGTCGCCATACATAGTAGGGCCATAATCTAGGCTTCGTGGTATTGAAAATATCAGGCCGATTCTGAACAGAAACTCCCTGGGAGTTTTCTCGACGATTTTTTTATATTAAAGGGCGGAGTTGAGGTGTCAAAAGTGTCGAAACGGCTTTTTTGAAATCAAAATTTCCTCACAAATTTTCGGGAAAATGTTACTCCCTAGCAGTTAATTATTGGAGGATTTCTTTCTCGGGAGAAACAAGTTCCCGGAGAACAAACTCCCCGGGACTATTAAGAATGCTGTATATACAGTGGGTACACTCTGTATTGCGATCCAAAAAGCCAAACGTTCGGATTCGAATACTTTGCACTATGAATTTGAATTAACCCGTGTCGCCTTCCGAATAGCCTCGGGTTTCAAATCGACCTATCGTCGCCTGGGTAAAAGATTGTTGTAAGCGCCATATTGACGATTTTTGGTTCTAGATGCAGGCATGTATTTTGAAATAAGGTCTTTTGATTGGTATTACCAGTTTTTAGATATCTCCTTTAGTTTCCGAGATATTGACAACTTTTTCGATCATTTAGTAAAAATTTAGTTGGTGATGCAGTCATATATTAAAAATGGCGTTCTCCATTTTTATACCCGAGCGCACTTGTGCACAAGGGTATATTAATTTTGTTCACATAACGGTTGTTTGTAACAGCCAAAACGAATCGAGATAGATATAGACAAATGTATACATAAATGATCAG